CTAACTACTTTTAGATGTTGCCTCATCTTCCCTTGAAATGTGTTTTTTTCTCACAGAATACTACACAAAAATACATACATTATAAAAAAAAAAAAACAACAGACACGCCCTACATCAGTTTTTTCAGGTCCGTGCACACGGGGGCAGCGCGATGCGACGTGATTCATTCATCACAACGCTGGATGCAACTAAACGTGCTCATTGGATGTCTCGGTTGCATATTCAAATAATTGAAGGCGTTTTCGCCTCGCTAAGAGTTCAATAATATTGATGATGCGACACGCGCGCCAGGGCAAATCGTCAGCAGTGTGCTGCCGTGCTGGGGAGGAATGTCGTATGATCCTTTGGGCACTGCCGTATTTTCTTCAAAAAAAAGCTAATTTACCGGGAGGACTTTGAATATTTTTTTCCTAATTATTCAGACTATTTTGTTTGCAATTTAATCTTAAAAATCTGAAAATTTCAATGAAAAATATGAAAAAATATTCTCTCAAATATACGTTTTAATCAGGAAAGTTTGGCGACTCTCAAATGTTTCTTCGGCGTTTTAACATTTGCATGGCAGTTTTTTGCGCCAATGCAAGTATGTGGACATTTTAAGGAAAAACACTGTTAACTTGCTCTTCCAAATTTTTTCCAAATTTTTCTCGTGTAGTTTTGTTGTGAGGCAAAAAGTTACAACGGATCTGAGTTTTTCCCTGGAAATTTTAAAACCACCTTGGGCGACGCACACCAAAAAAAAATAAATAAATAAATAAATCTGAAGAATAACGTCTTAAACAACCAACAACTTGTACGGCGTTTTCTCCTTAGTATGGCAAAACAGGTGTGAAGATTTCAAAGGGTGGAATTCTGTAATATTCCGTTGATACAAAATTAATACAGAGTTGGTTGGCGTCTGCTCACTATTATCCGAAGCTTCTTTGTTTTGTTTAATCTTTCACGGGAACAACTCGGGGGCCAACGAACGCGTCGAGACAAAGAAAACTCGAGGAATTAAAGGTCGTGAGACTGGATGACTATGAAAAATTCACGCGCAGCGACACCGAAAGCGCGGACTCGGCCAAATTTCTTTCTCCTCGCGTCCCCAGGGCATGTAATTACACTTGTCTATTCCCCACCCCATTCAACCCTTTCTTCGCTCACGCCTATGGTCCGCCTCCCCAGGGATACACCGGATACGTAGGTTTAAGTGAATGTCAAATGAATCACGGTTTCGCGGCCGGAGTTGTCGAATTTCGGTAGGATCTCGACTTTTGAGCTTGATTGCATACATTAAAGCGCACAATTTGGCGTCATCGCCTGAATTTATGCTCACGTCGCTCTGAATGAGGCTCCGTTGAAAGAGGAAATGAGGTTACGTTACGTGCACCCTAAATATACGCTGAAATTATGCGTCATAATGCGCCACGTCGTTGTTTTGCACTCAAGGATCCATGCGTCTCTATTGCCTTACATTGGATTTCGAAATAGACGCAGTCTAAACGTTTTTACGTAGAAACACTAGAAACGTGTACATCAGTTTGCAGACTTCATGCACTGAAAAAAAAAGATCAATAGAATTTACCATTCCTTCACACTGTATTTCACAAAGCATTAATTCAGAGTCAATTCCGCCAGAAGAAAGGTAAAATTTACTATATATTGGTCCAGGTAACCATTCCTCCGACAGAATTGACTTAAAGATTGGTAGAATTTACCATGCCTTTGCGCTGTGTGAAATACAGCGTGAAGGAATAGTAAATTCTATCAATATTTTTTTCAGTGTAGAAACTTTTTTTCAGTTTGCAGACTTCATGTAAAACTTTGTTTCTTAAATAAAAAAAATATTCGCTACCTTTTGGACGCATTCAAATCAAAAGGAATTATATGTCCATTCAGGCATGAGTCCTGATATCCGTAAGAATACAAGTATAACAGGTATCATGTCATAACGAATACAGTTCTGTTTAATTTGAATGCGTCCATTTCTTGGAATCCCTCTGATATATTCCCCTTTGCAAAGAATAGTCTGTGAAGCGTTCAAGCAATAGCGTTGGACTGTTCCTTTTCAATAAAAAAAATTGACAGAGGAGATTTCATACACGCCAAAACCAAGTTTTGCCGAATTTCACCTGACAAGAGATTTATTTTTGTGTAATATGTATATTTTCTCTAAGAATGTTATGGTACTAGGTAAGCATGAGAACCTACAATGTACTGAAAGATACGAAGAACCCGGAAACATCTATTGATCAAAGTTACAGAAGTAGTGTGAACAAATTCAGGATTGAGGCGCCTTCAATTGGAGTGATACTTCCAGCATTACCGGAGAGTTAGTTTAGTTGCGTGACCTGACTTAAGCAACCTGATTCTGTTACGATCGGTACCTGAGCTGTGCGACCGACTTGAATCATAAAACTCGGGCACACTTAATTACTGCAAGGACAAAATTTGTTTGAAATTAATTTTCATGTTTTATTTTTCACAAAGAAACTGTTAAGGTGTTTTTCTTGAATTTTCTCCGTGAATTTTTGTCAATTTGCAGGTTTGGTAGATAAATCTTATCTCGGATCCCGTCCGATCGATTTTTCTGAAACTCGGTGTAAGGGGGTATATTATGACCCGATACTCGACTTTTTCGTCTAATTTTCCAAATTTAAGATAGCGGGCGTAGCCTAAAGTGGTATATTAGCTTTTCCAAAAGTATCTATCCTTGCGATTAAGACATGTATTTATTTCCTATTCATTTTCAAACTCAATTTACCGACAGAAAATATAAAACTCGATATTCGCCCGCTCTCCAACACAGATGTGTCAAAACCATTTTTCTTTTTATTTGTTTTTTTTTTTTTTTTTTTTTTGGGGGGGGGTTTGAATTGGCTTAACTCCAAAAGACGAAGCGTGGACTGACCTATGGTAAAAGAAAGTCCTTATTCATAGTGTGGGTTACTTTTAGTTACTTTTTTGAGTCGGAGCAACCAAAAGGTCTTGGTTGATTGACCACATGTTTGGTTAAACTGGTCGAAACCTAACCCTGCGTTTGTGAAAAAAAATTATCCTAGAAATTCAAAAAGAAAATTTCACGGGGATGGCTAGAGTGCGAAACCAGGTATCTCAATTGCGGTGTTTTAACATTTCCACTTTCATTTTACTTGCTCAAAAAGAAACAAACTAACTTTATACGTTGAACTTCATACAGAATATTTTGCTTACATGCAGAGTAGAAAAATCAAGAGGGTTTTCAAAAATTACGTAGACTGATATTCCAAAGAATAAATGAAGTACGACAGGAACCATCGACAGATACCATCGACATGTTTTCCAAGATATTTGCATTTTATCAGACGAAATTTGCGTGAGATTACGTTTAACCTACTGATACGACATTATTATGCATCATAATACGCCTGGTAGTTGTCTGTCAATGCTCGACTCTGTGCTGCCGATGAGGTGTCGCTTAGATTCGGGAGTAAATTTTTGAAATAAGGCGCAATAACATCTCTCCTATCCTCGTCTGTGTCGCTCACGGAGGCCTTGTAACACCATTACAAAAAAGACGAGCGGAACCAACACAAATTAAGAATAGAGCAAAGGAAAGAACGAGCGTTGATGACGGCGCAGAGATACAACTATTCGTGCTCGATGGATGTCCGTGTTGCGTTTGCAAAATTGAAGGCGCGCTGGCGTGAGGCATGAACTCGCAATGATCCGCTTTATGCTGCCGATGACGTGTCGTTCGGATTTGGGAGAACATTTTTCAAAATCGAGACCCGATTACGTTTCTCCTAACTTCACCTGTGTTGACACTCGATTTTTTTTTCAATTTGATTTCTGATGTATTTGTAAACCTACATCTAAAGCTCGTATGTATCGACCCCATAACTTCCTCAGAAGAGATAGTTCGACTGATTTGACCCGGTTTGGGATTTCTAGAGATAGTTCGGCGTATTTAAGCTAAAAGGAACTAGAGACGTGTGGGAAAGCACTGAAAATAAATATGATAGAGTTCACCATACTCTGACACAATGATACGAGTCACTGAGTCAGGTAGTTGACACCAGACTCTACGGTTGCATTTGCCATATTATGGTGAATATCACCTGAGTTCTGGTGAATATCACCATAATTCTGGTTATTTTTACTAGATAGTATCACTGTGTAAAAAATCAAGAAGACTTATAGTATAGATATCACCATACTTTTTTTTCAGTGAGATGGGGTGTGCTCGTGCAAGCTGCATAAGAAACAATGTATAATTAGGTGGGGTTTCTCTTGGGAAAATGGAAAGAAGGGATTTTACATTAAATCCAAAGGGACCAAGCGCCGAAATATACTGACTCATGGGCATGTGACAAGAGCGTTATGGACAGGGCTCATGAGTTATCCGCGGATCGTTATCTCCGTCGTCGCCGCTGACGTCACTGGCGCCTTATAATCCCCATTCATTCTTACGGCCCTCCACCAACGAGCATAATCCTTCTTTCTCACCCACCTTTGGTTCCTTTTAGTATAAATGGACGCATTTCTGTCAAACGGAACTATGTGCATGATGACGTGAGCTCTGTTATGCATATATTCTTATGGGTCACAGGGCTCATGTTTTAATGCACATAGTTCCGTTTGACATAAATACGTCCAAATATACGTCCAGTTATGAAACCGAATTCCCTGACATTCGATTTTTCTTCTTTTTTTCGATTTGATTTCTGATTATTTCCTCTCGACGTATTCGCAGGCTTACATCTAAAGCCCGTGTGCACCATACCCATACAACCCGTAGGGCACGTATATAGCAAGCTTCGAGGATTTGAGGGTTAACTCATGAATTAGACTGTCAGGATTCCCCGGGTTAAAAATGCTGTATTAGGGAGAAACGGCGGTTCTGCGAAGGATATCCATTGCAGTTAAGCGGTTTTTAGTTAGAGAATTAAAGATGCGCTTAATTCAGCACTAACGGGTGAGGGTAGATGGAATGGAACACTCCGGAGGAGAATAATATTAAGAATCCATGAACTTACCGACTACTTTGAGCTCTACAAATATACTAGCGGGTGGATGCGATGTCACTTGGCATTCGTAAAGCCCTGCATCCCTAATTTGAACATATTTAATTTGTAGCGTCCAATCCTGAAACACAAAACAAACACCATTTCATTCAGAGGCAATGTTGACAAGTGGGACCTCAAAATCACAATATTCCGTTTGTACTACCGAAATGGACCGCTTGAAGGGGTACATATTAAGGCATCCTGATAAACGTTTCCTCTTCAACACTTAACCAGATCTGCAGGCTTTTTTTGTGTGAAACTTGAAGGATTTAATGGTGGATATTCGCATTTTAAAACATAAATTAAAGGTATATTACATACAAATAAATTAATTACAGTATAATGAATCGTGATAAATAACTAGCTACTAATTACATAAATTAAAGACACGGTTTGTACTTGAAAAATTCACATGTCATCGTTTTCCTCACCAAAAACATAACTACATTTCAGTGTTGCCAAATTTTTCCTCGTTAATTGCATTTTTACCTTGAGAGCCAAATCTATGCATAAAATTCCCAGAGCTATCCCTTCCGCGTCATCTTTCTTTCGGGCGGCAATAACTCCGGTGGAGCAATAAATTCAAGTCTTTTCTTTTTTTTTTAAAAAAAAAAAGAAAACCCTGACTTTTTGCTGATTTCTGAGGGCTGATTTTTGAAGAAGACGAAGCTATAGAAGAAGAAGACGAGGGGAAAATGGAGGGATCCTGTTGGTGAAAGCAAGATGTTGCAATGGTCAAATGAAGTAAGTAGGTAATACACTAATTAACACAGCTCTCAAAATACTTTTCAGTTAATCCATAATTTTCCCCCATAGTATATGATAACCACCCGCTTCAACCAGCAGAATATGTCCGTTTTCCCTTCGTTCTCTTTTTCTATCATTTTATCTATCAATTACAATAAACTACCGCTGACTGCGGGCTGATAATTGAAATTGATAGACGAGCCGAAAAAAATAATAAATGGGGGAATTCTATTGGTGGAAGCGGGCGATTGCATTGATTTATAGATGTAAGTCATTGAATAATTGCAGCCCATGAGAGACCTTATAGTAAGTCCATCATTATCTCCCTCGTTAGTGACATAACCACCCGCTTCAACTAAAAGGATCGTTCTATTTTCCTTTCGTCCTCTTTTTCTTTCACTTTGTCTATCAATTCCAATAATCAGTCCGCAGATGTTCGATCCAAATCCATGGGTGAAATTTCCCTTTCCTTAAATTCCCCTCAAAATGTTTCTCCCTCACTCTGTAACGACCACCCGTTCCAACCGATAAGATCGCTCCATTTCCACCGTTTCTACGCTATCTATCGCTTTGTCTAGCAATTCTAATAATCAGCCAGCAAATGTTCTATCCAAATCCATGGATAAAATTGAAATTCCTTCCTTGCATTCATTGAGCCCTTCCTTCCGGGTGGAAATCCCGACGGAGGGAACCGTGTCCACGCTGTCTATCGCTTTGTCTATTAATTCCAATAATCAGTCCGCAAATGCTCTATCCAAATCCATGGATAAAGTTGAATTCCTTCCCAGCATTCATTGAACCCTTCCTTCCGGGTGGCAACCCCGACGGGGGAAAGAGGGGCGGGTGACTTCTCCGGTTTTCACTATGCGGGGGCGTAATTGGATCGCCGGTGCACGTTCGACCCGAAAACGAGGCGAAGTCGGTAACGAAACGCGAGACCGTTGGCAAACACACTGGCCCATAATCAACTCAGACCCCAATTGTCGCTCAGCCGGCCTAACTTGAGCCGCCCTCCCACAGGCGACCAGCGACGCGAAGTCGCCCGCGCCAATTTAACTCCTTGACACCGAGTGTCACATGAGGAGAGTATAGACAATGGGCAAGTCGGTATTTTTGGAGGTTACACGGAGAAAAAAACCTCGTGCGTGGGACCCGAAGTTTAGGTCATATGGATCTCTGAAGTTTTCAGATTGAGCATCTGAGCACTTGAGGTCCAGCTGCTGAGGTTTGGATCACACATCTGAAACTTCAGTTCTTACATCTGAAGTACTTCGGTTTTCGCATCCAAAAAACTTCGGTTCTCACAGCCGGAAAACTTCGGATCTTCAATCTGAAGTACTTCAGATATAAGGACTGAAGTTTCAGATGTGTGATCCGAACCTCGAAAACTAGACCTGAAGTGTTCAGATGCTCAATCTGAAAACTTCAGAGATTCATATGACTTAAACTTCGGGTCCCACGCACGAGGTTATTTTCTCCGTGCATGGTAAAAAAAAGCGTCTTTAAGGATTAAGACTTTGAAACTGAGAAAATGTATGCGAAATCAAAGTTTGGTACGTGTTTCTATAATTTTCGATCATTTCTGAAACGACGGGTAGTAAGAATTATGAAAATTAGTACCACTGGGTAATTTGGGTTCACAGGTTGGCAGCCTTTTGGGCCCCACGAGCTACATGGCCTGATCAAGCCTAACCTCCAAGTTTTCGAGCTGTCCATTCTTTCCCTATAAAGGTACTCGAGTTAGGTCGTGGAGCTCGTATGACCCAAAATGGCAGCCGACCTATGAACTCAAGTTGTCCACAATGGTTTATTATCACAATGACTGACGAGTGTCGAAGTGAAAACTTCGCTTGAAGATTTTTTCCAAAAATGTTGTCATGAAATTCCATCAAATTTAATAATATGTCACTTCGAAATTTCATTTAATACAGCTTTATGAGATTTCACAACTCTGCGCGTGGCTATCTCGTGTCGCGCTGCCTATGGGACCGTGGCCTAACATCCTCCCGAAGTAACTCGACATGTCCGGTCCGATCGCCGCACAGTGGATCAAGTCAAAAGGAAAGGTCGAATACAATTTTGAAACTTTAAACGTATATAACTCCACTTATACAAAACCTTGAGGTTCTAAAAGTGGTTCCGTTGGTTTTCTCCGTTTCCCCTCGAAATTTAAAACGTGACGGAATTAACATCAAAATTTGCAGTTTTAATCAAAAATTTCATGTCCGATCTCTCTTATTGACTCGATCCACTGTGCGCCCTCTTGATTCTGGATGGCCTTCCAGTCGATATGCGCTGCGAGGGCACTCGATTCATTACCGCGCTTTTCGTTTGATTACAGCCCAAAATTGGACGTATTTATGCTAAAAGGCACTATATCGACGGTGAAACTACCAAACCACGTATCTCGGTTTGCGACGTCGCAGACTTCCTGTCATACTTTATTTTTTAAATGAAAAACTACTTAACGTATAGTCTTGAAAATGTCTATGATTTTTCCTCTTTGCGCGGAGAAAATTCTGTGAAAATTTCAAGGAATGATATTGATTTGGTCGACTTCAAAAAAATAAAATGCGAGCGTAGATTTTTAAACACCGCAAACGAGATACGTGGTTTGGTAGTTTCACCGTCGATATGCATAGGGTTTGCGAGAGACATAGTCCCTTTTGGCATAAATACTTTCAATTTATGGCTTTTCCTTGAGATGAATCCAAGTTTCAAAGTTCGCTTCCGCGTATCCTCATTTCGATATCCAATCGATCATGAAATCAAACACGTTTTACTTTTCAAAATGCACGTATTTATGCACGTATTTATAAAAGGAACTATGTCGCACGCGGTCCCTATGTACATAGTTTCTTTTAGCATAAATACGTTCAAATAATCAGAGCCGCAAGAGGTAAATGCAAGTTGATGAGTATTCGATCAAAGTGTACGAAGGCAAAGGCACGGTGGAAGAAATGTTATTAGAACATTGCAGATTTACTACGGTTACATTATAAAATCATAACATCAGAAGAGATTGGTATGGATGCGATGAAAATGACAACAGACGAAGTGTTTAGGCTGAGGTTTCTACATCGAGAAAAAGCTTTAAAGTTGACAATTGTTGCAAAAAGTTTGATACTGTGTATTAGTTAAATCGCGTCATGCAAAAACCGCTATGTCCGTTTTTCAAGCTTTGAGTTTTTTTTGTTCTACATGACATGACACTTTTCAAGATTCGATACAATCACACAATTTGGTGTGAGGATTTGATATTAAAATGACTCTTAAACGAGTCTTTGCACCACTTTCTTCGTATCTAATTTTCAAGCCAAAAAACCAAAAAAAACTCGAGTCCGATAAAGTGGACATTAGTAGTTTCCGTGCGATTTAGTTACTGTGAGGATTATTCCTCATTTGACTAAATTAAGTTACTGAATCCTTTAAGTAACTTACAGCGAATATGTTTAACTTTTCTTAGCTTTCAAGACTCTAATATTAGCCTTCAATTTTTATGAAGTAGCGATACACTCCCAGGGAGCACGAATAGAGAACACAAATTGGACGTAATTATTCGATAAGGAACTATGTGCATAGGGATTGAGTGTGGCATAGTTCCTTTTAGCATAAATACGTCCAATGAATCAAGATTTAAAATACTTTTTTGAAAGAACCAAGGAATGCCAAAGGTTCGAATCTGACGGAATTTTGTAAATCCTCTGGCATATCGCTAAACTCAATAAAATTTGTGTGCGAGTCGGCCCAGCAGATCACAAGTGCAAGAAATTCCTCAGTCTTTCAAATATCGACGGTGAAACTGCAAAAATGCGTGTCTCGGTTGCAGTGTTTCACAATCTCCGCTCATACTTCACCGAAAAAAAATGTTGGAAAAATGTGCGACAGCTCTTGGATGTTGCCATTGACACTCTGGTGTTAATGACAACATCCAAGATTTGTCGCACATTCCTTTCACATCTGTGGTGTTACTACAGTACCTTTTTTCGGTGTTTATTTTTTGAAATGAGACCCAACCACCATTATGGCTTGAAATCTTCATAGAATATTTTTATCACATAGAGAATAAAAATCACCGAAGTGTCGAAGATGTAACGTTTGGTAGTTTTCTACGTAGAGATAAAGAACGACAGTCTGTAACGCCGCAAACTGACGTACAAATTTCTGCAGTTTCACCACTGATATAAAGATACTCCAAATTTGGCAATATTTCAATGTTCATACGGCAATTTTCCTCAGGACGGCAGTGCTCCTAGGTGAAGATTTGAGAGGCTCAATCGCGCACGTAGCTCTGCGGAGAAAAAGAAAGCCTACAACCATCTTCCATCTTGA